AGGCCGGTGTAGATGGTAACCATCCCAATGCAGGAGTAGTATATCACAGAACAAATTCCTATACCTTCAAACCCTAAATCCTAAACCCTAAACCCTAAACCCTAAACCCTAAACCCTAGCTTACCTGTAACACTGGAGCACCAGATGGGGCCTCTCTTCCAGTTCCTCGTCAAACCCCCGTAATGATCCGCGTGAAAATGCGACAAAAAAAACACAAAATCTTCAGCAATGGGGGCCCCCTCCGCTGACGGGGGCCCCCGCACTGAGGGGGCCCCCTGTACCCTGGGGGCCCCCTGGAGAGCGAGGGGCCCCTGCGCTGACGGGGGCCCCTGCACTGAGGGGGCCCCCTGAACTGGGGGGGGCCCATTAGGTACTTGGGGGGCCCCCGGCGAGGGGACCCCCTTGTCAACTGGGGGCCCCGAGGGGGCCCCGTGAGGTTGGGGGCCCTCATGGATATGGGGGGCCCCTGACGGGGCCCCCATATTCGCCAGGGGCCCCCCACCTGTAGGAGCAGGGGGGCCCCCTCTGGGGGGCCCCCCTGTGAGAACCCTTCTCTTGGGTATGTTGCGGAAGAGGTCGACGAGAAAGGGCGGGTTAGAGCCAACCACCAGGTGCCCCCTCAGCTCCTCCATTAAGCTGGACAGAGGGGGGAGACAGGGGACCCCTGGGGCCCCCCGGGGGCCCCGAGGGGCCCCCATCACCGAGGTATGTCTACCAAGGAAAGCAGCGAAAGTGAAAGTGTTGAGGGTTTAGGGAGTACAGACGAGGGTTTAGGGTTTACAGATGAGGGTTTGGGGTTTGTGTATGAAGCTGGTGGGCAGATTAAGGCCGAAGATCAGATATTAAGGGTTTAGGGTTTAGGGTTTAGGGGGGTAAGGGGGTGTACACGCAGCTCATTACCGCAGATAAACGTTCAGATAGTCTGTACAAATATATAAAAAATATTTTTTTTGTTTTTATTTATTTTTTATTGCAGCAACAGAAACTCAACACCTAACAGAGCCACCAGGGGGGCCCCATGGTAATACATCACTGGGGGCCCCCCCGCCCACCAGGTAATGTAATACACTAATAAAAGTGAATATATACACAAATTCAGTTTTTTTCTGTTTTAATATTCAAATATTTTATACAAATATACACATAAATATATACAACTTTGCTTAGAGCGGCGAAAGCTGCTGCTGCGGTGTATAGGCAGCTCCTGACCACGTTTCTGTATAATGCGAATATTCTTTGTATGTAAGTTATATTGATGAGATTATAAAAATAATTAATTTAATATTATTATATAATATTAATAATGTATAATAATAAATATACAATATTAATAGTGCATAAAAATAAATAATAAATTATTTATTTTATATGGTGATGGATACATTATTATTTTATCACTCAAGAACGAAAAATTATTTATAGTTTAATTCCCCAGGAAACTATTCAACATAATAACAAAAATTATAAAAAGTAAAAAATCATTTAATATTCAACTAACAACTAAAAATAAAAAAAAAACTTTTGTAGATTTCGGCGTCTGCTGCAGCTCCCGCCCACGAAACGGCGCTTGTTCAGGTACAAATAGAAATAAAAAAAAATAAAAAAAATAAAATTTTATTTTTTTAAAGTGTTTAAATGTGTTTATTTTGAATAATTTAATTCTGAAATCAACGAAAAAGATGAAATTAAAGCGTCAGCATCAGCGGTTCATTTATGTATACAATGCAGCTGCTTGTGCTTTCTTTCTGTAGTCTGTTTTCTTCTATTTTTTTGTGTATTTTAATTTTTTTTTTGGTTATATGGGAAAATATTTAATTTAATTTCTTATTTTCATGGATTTTTTATCTCGGTGTTGCAGCTTTCCGTCGAGTTTCACCGCTTTCTTGTTCTTGCACAATTCAGGTGTATAGGCAGCTCAGTTCTGGTTCCAAGGAAAGCTGAACGATGACTTTGCGTGTTCAGTTCTTCTTTTCAAATTATTTTAACAAAAAAAAATATATTTATATATATTTTTTAATAATTTGTTCAATGTGAAATACAAATGCTGATCATGAAATACATTTTTTTTCTTCTTCTTTTCTTCTTTCTGCTCTGCAGCAGTTTTCTGGTTTCAGCCGGTAGCTGGCACCCCTTGCTTGAGCCCGACCCATCCCGTCTCGGTTTCTACAAACGAAAAAAAACAGAAAAAACATTCTCAGCCCCAGCAGCAGCAACAGCAGCAGCAGCAGCAGCAGCAGCAGCAGCAGCAGCAGCACATCGCAGCAGCTTTCTTCAACTCGGCAGCACTGTTTCGGTAATCCTAAAAAAAAAAAATTAAAAAAAACAAAAATAATTTCCGGTTTTTAGGCACCAATGAATGACAGCATCTGCGCATGCAGAATTATAGGTGAGACGAAGGCGAACGAGAGGAACATTTATATATATATATATATATA